AATAACGAGTTCTAAGGCAAGAGCTATTATTGAAAGCAGAAAAAAATTTTATAATCAAATCAACCCCTATTTGAAGATGAAATGGATATTAAAGAAGAGTTAATGTAACTGGGTGAAAGTTTTGGGAAGCTCCTTGGAGGATCGAGGCCAGCGGAAGAATGGCGAGTAACTCTGATGAGCATTGCCATCAACGTTCTAAGATTGTCTGGTACGCGATTCTAGAGAGCTGCCAGTACAGCTTTTGATCTGTCATGCTGTGAAAATGATATCCTCGTCAGTCAGCTGTTCAATCAATTTAGCAGCCAGGTGGAATATTAGGTATTTTGGTTAAAAAAGCTATATAAAGACTGCTTTAAAATAAAAAACCTGCGGGTTATTTTATTGAAAACAGTCAATTTAAGCACTTTATCTGGGAAAAATAAACAGACGTGTTATGTTTCAGTACCAGGAAATCGCCGTTTTTTTTTTTTGTGAGCCTCTCTGTTGTTTCTGTTTGCTTCCGTTGAACGTGAACTGGTAGACGTTGGTGTTCACTGCCATCATTGTACTGTGCCCGTGCATCTGTAGTCAGCTAAATTAATGGGTAAAATATTCAAGGTTTTTGAGCAGAGTAACTTTTTGAAATTTTAAAGTAGCACCGTATTTCATTAGAAACGTTCTATTTCATCTAAATTCTCCAACCATTGTTTACCATAGGAGTAATTTGGTATCACTGTTAAAGACTTTTAGGCTATTAGATTTTTAGTGTCGCTTACTTCGTTCGAATTTTATTATATTTTCTAAGGGTTTATCAAGTTAAGCAGGTCATCCATCAACAGTTCCGCCTAATTTTCCAATTTTTGAAATTAGAGATTTTGTTGTATTGTTGAGTCAACAAACAGTTCACTATTTCTCCTAGTTGCTTTACTTTTTTGGACAACTTTTTTATTTGAACAATAATGCTACTTTCCAGAACCGACATTTATTATGAGCTAACAAAAGCTGTTTAGTTTGGTAATCTAAATGTATAGTCGTTACCAGTAAATGTCGCTTTTTCTTTGAGTTACGCTTTGCAAGTTTGTTTTCATCAGATCAAGCTAACAGTAAACTAATAAAAATCTGAACATTTTAAATGGCTGTAAACCACTAACAAACAGAAAGCTAAAATACCAGCAAAATGGCGACATGTGCTCAACTCTTCTTGATGTACACAATGTTTTAAAATTTTGGCTTTATTCCGCGCTGGAACTTGTTAATATGGAGTTTTCCAAACGCAGACTTGTGTTATTTTTTTCTGCAGAGAAACGTCTGCGCGATTCTTCGTTACGGGGGTTTGTTGTTTATTTATTGCGTTTCTAAAAATTGCTTTTCTGTTTCTGAAGCTTAAGCTGATTGTTAGCTTGGAAGGTTTTACTTTGAACCTCGTATCATTTCTTGCCTTTGCGTACCAGCCTTGTAATTTCGTTGATCATTGGTGGATGAATAGATAAAGAGATTTTTAGAAAATTTAAGAAAGCCTTTCTCTCCGCTGTTGTCGAAAATAAGCAAAAAAAAGACCAGATTGGTAGAAAATATGAACTGGCTTTTTATTTCTGAAATAATAATAAGGTAAACATTTTATAATCCAAAAATTTGTGGCATGACTTGATGAATATCTGAACAGCATTACTGTTTCGCACTCATCTTTTTCTTTTTGTTTCAGTCACCTACAGCAAACACTGTTGCATTCCAAACTAAAAGGTTTAACAGGACACTGTTCATGCTCACCTTGGGACCCGAACCCACGACCCTCACATTAAAACTCCGGTGCTCTACCAACTCAGCTACACAGACTTCAACTTCCGCGTAGGACCCAGGGATGAAGTAAGAAAGATTAGAAAAAGCAGAATAACGCAAAAATGGCCATCCCACGCAATCTTCAATAGTATTTGGAAAATTGGCATGAAGTGGAAACACCAAAGCAAAGCAGTGAAGGGATAGAAGGGATAACCAACATCTATGAACAACAGTTATATAACCCGTTTCGGGACTGCTGTCGGGCCCTCTAGGAACGTTCTTCACACATTTGGTACCTGAAGCGTCGAGAACCCCACCTTATCTTGTAGTGACC